GGGAAAAAGCAAGCTGATTACTCGTTACACTGTGACAATGAGAGTGCAGTGAAACTTGCTAAAAATCCAGTCTATCATGGGAAAACAAAGCACATTGGGATGAGGTATCACTTTGTCAGAGGACTGATCAGTATGGTACGATGAACTTGAAGAATATCTCAGGTGCAAAGAATCCAGCAGACATGTTCACCAAGTCTGTGACGTTGGATAAGCTGAAGTTCTGTATGACTTCAGCTGGCCTTTAGGAATAATGTTGAGAAGGCAGGTGGCAACTAGGGGAGCTTAAGCTCGGTTGGTGTTTACAGAAGTTCAGAGGAGTGCAGGTGAACATGTTTTGAAGCCTCCAAGTGGGAGATTGTTGGAATGTAGGCTTCGGCCTACTAAGTTAGACAAAAGGGAGGAGGCATAAAGTAAGGAGCCAGCCCTAGCCCAAAAGGAGCCGGCCCTAGTCTCTACCCTAGTTTTCTTGATTAGGAGATAACCCTAATTATGTTTGTCTATATATATTAATCTCATTGTACTTGTAAACATTTGTAGCACCTAAATAAAGAAAAACCTAGTTGTCCCCGTGGACTAGCACGATCAATCTGATCGTGTGAACCACGTAAATTCTTGTGTTCTTCTCTTGTTTTTGGGTTGTGCGTATTGCGTGTGTAACGTTTGTCCTAACAAGCTTTATCCATTCAAGACTTAATGGAAAACCAACCAAACTACCCCTAAATCATGTTTGAGAGTGATTGGTTTTTGTACCATCATTCATTGCAAACTAACCGTTGTTCTTGAGAAAATGCGAGTAGAACACTACATTTTTGCAAAGAAAGCATTTTTGGTCAAATCTTTGTACTTGGCATTTTTGTCCAAAATGGCTCTTGAAAAGTGCAACTTCTTTTCTACAACTTTTGCAAGGACAATGGTTTCTTTAGTAATGAAAAGTCGAGTATGAAGTCCGAGGTTCTCTTGTTATACTATGATGATTTTTGACATGAAAAGTACTCTTCTTCTAAGAAAGTTGACTTGGTGTTATGAAGCTCGGCTTATTAAGTTAAATGGGGTTCTATTTTGTATTCGAGATCCACTGGAGATCGAAAATTATTAAGCTCGAGCTCGTTTTGTAGCTAGTTAAAAGCTCGAGTCATTAACACTCCTAGTTGAGGCTAAGAAAGGAAAAGGATGGTGTCACTAGGCTTGGCTTGTGTACCCTTGGTTCCTATGGACCCATACGGGTTTGTATAAATTAAGAAAAAGCTCTATAAGAAAACATAAACAAACTCTCTAAAAAGTTGCTAGTAGAAGTAGGGGTGTTCGTGGTGCGGTTTGCCCCCAAACCGCAAACCTTGTGGTGCGGTTTATGCCGTTTGTACTTAACGCACTTTACATCTACAATCCAATAAACTTTATTATAAAATCAACAATAACGTGACGTAGTCCAAACAAGTAAAAAGTTCAAATACATCAAATTTCCAAATAAATATTACATAGTTAAAAATAGTCTAAGAAAACTATAAATTGTACATAATTAAAAATAATCTAAGAAAACTAGAAGTATTACATAAACTAGCCCAATTATTATATGCATATATATATATATATATATATTATGAATTAAAAAATATATATAAAAAGTGTGGTGTGGTTTGATAACTCAAAACCGCAAACTGCATATTGCGGTTTGGTAAAAATGCAAACCGTACCCCAGAAGTTTTAAACCGCACTTTGGGGTGCGGTGTGGGCGGTTTGGCAGTTTGGATGAACACCCCTAAGTAAAAGTGTCAAAGAGGCGAATAGTGGGCTAAAAATATAGGTTAGAATTAGGCTCATTTAGGCCTTGATGATCTTGGATCATTTTTTATCGCCAAGCGTCCAAGTCAAAGCCAACCAGGTTGAAACTCGGCTTGGGTAGTCAAATGAACAGACTCAGCTCAAGATTGCTAAGCATCGTGACAAGCTGATTCGCAAGCTGTCAGAATCTCTCTCTTTTAGTTGTAGACCCCCTACTCATGTGGGTGTAATCACCATTTAGTAATGCACCAATTTTCTTTTTGGTTTCAGGTTATGTTATTCTCCCCAGGAGGTCGATGGCACAAATGTGTGGAGAATCAAACGATTGGCACCCTAACTAGCATTCTCGTCATCCTCATTATGAAATACTCAAAAGTATGCCATTCTTTCTTATTTGCTTGTCATCTTTTCGTTCTGTTTTTGCATATATCTTGCATATGCTCATTGTCAACCAGAATTTAATGTGACTGAGACTCTATCAAACTATTTATGACAACCATCTTAAATATTTTTAAAAAATTACATAAGAAGTGCATAATAGATTAATACAAATAACTACATGATGATGCACCTAGAATTTGAGTTCTGATTTACCTTGAATCTAGTCATGGAATACTGAGAAATCTTGAGTTAGAGGACAATCTAGATCAGAACAGTTACGAATATTTGAAATTTGTTTGAACCGATGTGAGAATGTGATAATATGTTATACTTACCTGGTTAAAAGAGACTAAGGGCATGTTTGTTAACAACTTAATGAGCTTAATGGGATTCGCATTTTATTCGGTCAGCTATACATGACTGTTTGGTAGTAGCTTAATGATATAGAAAGTGGCTTATTCGTTTATGTAGAAACCCAAGCTTTATCCAAACCTTCCCTTCCCAATTAAAAAACAGGCTCCTTCCATCCATGAAGAAAACCCTCTCAATCTATACATACAAGACTTGATGGAAAACTAACCAAACAACCCAAGTAACTCGGGTCTTTTTTAGTACCCTTCATATATCGGGTACGTTTTGTTTGGTTTGGTTTGGTTTGATTTGGTGATTAGAACAAACAAAATTAATAATTGGTGAACCTAAAGATGAATCAAGTGTGAAGTCTTTAAGCTTGAGTTTCTTGACATTTTGGTGCTTTTTAGAAAACCCTTTTTTAAATTTGTGTGATGGAGAAGGGTTTGCTTTATTTCTTATCAAGTAGGTGGGAAAATGCCCAAAAGATTTGGAGGTTTATGTTATGGATGAAGCCTTTATATCCAATATATTATATGCATGTAGAAAGAAGATGAGTGGGGAGGTTGATCCTGACCAAAATAGGGTCCACCCATGAGGAAAACATCCTGCTGCACATTTCTTTTTAAACTTCTTTTGACCACTTGGAACCTGAATAATGTCTCTAATACTTTTGTTTCAGAGGGGGATAATAACACTCATTCAACATCAAGACTTCTTCATTTCTTAACCACAAAAGAACAAAACGAACCGAAGAAAATTATGGACAACTTTAATGATTTTAATCAACTTAATTACTTCTTAAATGGTTGCTAGGTGTATGATTATGGTATGTTTTTGTAGGATTTAAGGGTTAATAACAGTATTTCCAACAGATTCTCCATAAAATCAACAAAATTTATATTCATCTCCAACTGCTTCTCCATTTTGGAGATTATGATATGAATTATATTATTAAAATATTCAATGCCTTTCATAAGATATTATATCTCCCCTACACATCTAGTTTCAAGGATTCTCATTGATAGGAAGAATAAAAAATAATTTGTAATCATTTTTGGAGAGTTCTCCAAATTTGGACTCTTACTTTCTCCTTTTTAGAGAAGGTTTTGAAGGATTCTGTTGGAGTAAAAATTCCCAGGATATGCTTATGGTGTATGAATGATTATGGTGTTCCCGGCATCGACAACAATTGTGATCACTGAGTTTATCAGGGCTAATATCTTACTGTCGCAATTTGCTGATGATTAACAAAACGTTGAAATTGTTTTCATTAGCTTAGTTACGGTTGTACCTTAAAACCCGAATCTAATCATTTTGAACAATTTGACTCAACGCATTAACTTTTGAAGTGTGTGATTATTAATTAAAATATTTAAGAACACCCTCAATAATGACAAAATATGGTATTTTTATGCTTGGAGCCAAAGTCCAACAACATTATCGGTTTACAATGACAACTATTGTGCAAAAAGCCAATTTTTGAGTGGAACTTTGTCAAAAAAAATGGCATGCAAGATTGTATTTCTTTTTAAAATAATTTTGAATACTAATACTATGATTTTAAAATAATTATATGTATTTCTTTTTACATTTTGAATACTAATACTATGATTTTATAAAGAGGGTTTCGGATGTTGGTACATACCATGCTATACATCTTTTGAAATTATGGATTTGATTGGACAAGGTAATGGAGATTTGGTGATTTTGTGGGCAAATCCCAATTCATGGTTATGTGACACTATAACCAAATTCACATTCTTTTACACTTGGTGTGGAATCATTGCTGTCACAAGTCACTTACAATGCTTGATGCCCATTCATGAAAAGAGAAGCCAACCCTATAAATATAAAAACAACTTGTCAAATTCTTGTTCAAATCTAAAACCCCGATTTTGTTGAATTAATCAAGTTCACATGGTCGAAAAGTGCTTACGAATCACAATCATGCTCACTTCATTACCTCAAAACTAGTATTTTCAACTATGATATTATTTAGGAAAAGTAGATACAATAGCTTAGAATTCGGTTCTTAATTGACCAAGGAACGAAAAATGGTTTTATTTAGTAGCAAATTTGTCTAAAAACAACGTATTTGATAGCAAATCGTACCAAACTTAAGTACTAGCAAAGTCGGTCTTTATTTTTAAGAGGGTCGAATGACCACACTTTCACTTGTTAATCGTAAACAAAGGGTTATTGGTCCAACATTACTTGGAATCTCGAATTGCTTGTATAACCCAACATCTCTGTAGGTCAGTGGTTCAAGTTTCACCAATAGTGACGAATAAGTATGATTCTAATTCTAATTTTTTAATTATTTTATTCGCCTTATTTAAATGGTTCTTTGCGTGATGCATTGAAGCCTTCTCATGTTGATAATAATTATAAATCATTTTTATAATTATAAACAAAAACAATATCTAGCAAGATATCATCGTTATCCAAATGATAAGGATTAACTGATTCAGACCAATTATCAGTTCTCCTGACCATCACAATGTTCACGAGACATGGTTTTATGTCATTCTCGTTAAGTCAATTTTGTTTTTTAATTTTCAAATGGATTGAATAAATAACAACTTTTGATATCATATACCTTTTAATTGAGCATTCATGTATTTCCTCAGCAGGTCTAGAGGCATTACTCTTGTCATGCAGGAAGGACAAATCATATATATCTGATGCAAGTCTTCTCTCAAGGCATTATCACATACTCAATGACTATTTTGTCATTCAGTTATATGACGTTATTAGAGCTAGGTATTAAAGTATATTGCTTAACCATAGTAGACTTCAATATCATCAAGTCAAATAATGTTATCGTACATAAGAAACATCTACGACACTCATACAGAAAACTCTTATGAGTTCAAATATGCTAGTGTCGGTTGTATTATTTTGATTCAAGTCTAAAGTGACATTTGACCAGGGTCTTTTTTAAGAATCTTACTCTATGGTTGTCATTATGTTCACTGGTTAATACTCAATGTTTACAATCATCCAATGACTGACTTTTGGTGATAGTATTATTATTGTCAGTAAAATAGACACACATGACATGACTATTTGGTCGAGTCAAGTGTTGAACGTCTACCAAGCATACATGAGATGGGACAGAGCAACTTAATATTATACGTGGTTCACAAACAATATAAATTGGAAGAACATCAGTCTTTATCGAAGATATTTATTCTGTTTTCGTTACCGATCATAAAAGATTTTCTTTTGACATCTAAACTAAAAGAAAAATATGCCAAGAGATTGGTGGTGTTGAGATCCTCAAAATATTCTTACTTCCATTTGTCAAGAATTAGGTTTGTACTTTTTGTATGCATTATCCAATTTTGTTGCTTACAACTCTCAAAGTCATAAAGATGACAAAACTTCATGTCATTTTAGTATAATCCATCTTTTCAATTTGACCAAAATAGTCCTTAAATTCAATTTATCTTCTTCATTTCGACATCCTAATCGACCAGGTTGCAAATGGTACAAGCAAGGGTATTTATGTCATTTGAAGTAGATCATCAAGTATCTATTTATTTATCATTTGAAAAGAGAGAGAATCGTTGAGCGTATTTATGACAAGTTTAAGGTTCATATCAAATTGATGTTATGTAAACTTTGGATAAAATCATGCCAAAATTCTAGAGGTGGCAAAATAGACGATCAAGCAAACTGAGTAACATGTCAAAACATATAATCTTTTAATATGGGTCAATACCTCTGAAGATGTAATACAGATGATTCCAGACTGCTATAGTTGCACGAACAAGTAAGAGTTTGAGTTCAGTAGTCGTAGGGTGAGTTATAACATCTTAGGGAGTTGGATACGTTGTGGGCACTTAGCTCTTAATCTCATAATACCTAGCAGGTCGCTGAGTACCTAATTCTTTTATCACAGGATGTTCGTGGGACGGAACAATATTAGCCGACTTGTGGGTTGACGATTATAAACCCTTTTTCTGCACAAACTTTTTTCTTTCAAATAACTAATGCTTCACAGGTGATCCCGAAAATAATTCTATTAATTTTTTAACGAAAAGATTTATGCGATTGTAAACATTTGAGTAGACTTTGGACGATTTTCAATCCGTTTGGCCTGATGTGTTCTTCATTTTGTTTTTAAATAATACCAAAAGACTCATCTGAGACTAAAATACAATTAAAACGGGGTGATTTTCAAGTAAATTAGTTAAATTAACACATCTCAAAAATCTATAACCCGAAGCCATTCAGCATAGGTGGAAATTAGCTGCGCCGAACGATTTCGGTGAACTGGCTTGGGTCAAAACTCACAGATGTTTGTACGGGTTGATTGAGTTAACTCGTTTACATTTTCCATGTATTTCTGTTTTATATATAATAATAAACAAAAACTATTAGTAATATGGTATTTTGAATAAAAAATCCATGAATGAATTATTCATAAACCGCCAAAAATTGTCGGTCACAAAGCGTGAGGAAATATTTTTTAAATTTATCTAATATACATAAAAATAATATTAAAAAATAATTTAAAATATCTATGTCTTCTTATTAAAGTTCCACAAGTGGTCAATAACCAAAAAGACTTTGAACCTTGGCCACCAAAATATTTTCAATTTTAAATTCAAAGAAACAAATTTTTATTCTGAAATTTATTTCTTATTGTAATACAAAATTTAATTTTTATAATTTCCCAATAAATATGAGTGATCTAAGCGGAAAAATTGAAGATTTTATGATATCTATATATATATATATATATATATATACGGTATATTTTAAATGCAACCATGTTCATTTGTACAACTAATACAATTCAATCAATTGAGATATTTATGAAAATAATGATAATCCATTTATTATGATTTAAATATTTATGAAAGATAATTAAAATTTATTAATTATGATCATTACTTTATATTATGAAACAATCAAAACTTTTATGAAATCACATATTCATCAAATTAAATGTACGGTTGAGATTGAGTTGTATTGGTTGTACAAATGTAAATGGTTGAATTGAGACTATATTTATAGTATGTTTTATGTTTCATAATTTATTAGGATATAACTAATTCATTGTAGGTGACAAGAAATGAAACTGTTTCACCCTTTATAGAATGAACTTACGTGACTCCTTGTGAAAGACGGACCGATTGTCATGTAGTGTTGAACGATAATTGCAAACTGTTTTATTAACGGTTATTGAACTAGTATTGGACTATTAATAAATTCTAATCAAAATATTTTTTAAAATAAGAGAAATCCTAATAAACAATGAAACATATAAAGAATGAAACATTTTTAAAAATATAATGAAACATTTTGAAAACTGAATATTTTTTAATTTGATAAATGTTTTTCATGCATAAAATGTTTCAAAATATTAATAAATTAAATTTATCAGTGAAATTGTGTTCATGGTCACTATTGAACATGACATTCGTTTCATTACTCAAAGTACATATATTTTTTTAATGAAACAAACACATATTTCACATTCTACTGCTTTTACAATTCATATTTTAATAAAAAATATTAATGGTAAAAAAATTATATTAAGAGAAAAGATTTACCTCCTTCCATAAAAAACGTTTCCATAATACATTTTCATAATTAACAGTAGTTATTAAGATATACCTAATTCATTGTTGGAGAT